AAGGCAGGCACAAATACAATTATTCATTGCAAATGGTTTAACATATATAAAATTACTTATTGTATAAACGTAATGTACAGTATATTGCATTAGGCCTATACAGTACTTATTATTACTTTTTATTTTATATTATAGTATAATATACATCCTTTAAGGGGTGAGCACGTCCAGTTGTAGTATAAATAGGTCTAACTATATTATATGAATGACCGACCGATATCATTAAAATGCTTCAACTGCCATAGGATAACTATTTTTAAAATACCATGTTCAAAATAATAGGACAGACCACAACAAGGACAAGCCGACCGACTGCCATCGCTAAGAAACTGCTTGTTAAATTTGAAACCAGGACTAACAGAAGTTTAAAAGTAGCATGTTAAATTAAACAAAAAAAAGGGGGGCGACCGACCAACAGATTAACCGACCGACAGAGCACTGAAACATGTTTTTAGATGCTTGGACGCATGTAAAAACGCCCATAATATAAATATTAATTGAATCATAACTTGTAATATGTATAGTTATGCAATAATAGATTTTACATCTATATATATATCGAGATTTATGCAATGGGTTAAATAAAATTATTTGGGTTTTTGCACCCCTTCTTGTAACTTTAAATGAGAATATCGTCATATCATAATTTATTTTTCTCTCATTTATTTTTCATTTGCAAAAAATGAATTGAGTTATAAATATTACCTTGTGATATATTACTTTTTTTTCATTATAGGTTCGTCATCAGATAGACATAATTGACATGAGCAAGGTACCAATCCTGGAAGATGGCAAAACGTTTAAATACATTCTTACAGTGCAGGATTTTTTCAGTCGCTACCTGTGGTTACGCCCACTTTCTAGTAGAGCAAGCAGAGAAGTCAAACATCTATACATGGAGGTTGGACCACCTAAGGTGCTACAATCGGACAATGGAAGAGAGTTCAAAAAAGCAGTGGAGAAATTATGTAAAAAGCTCCAAGTTAAAATTGTAAGAAGCTCTCCATACCATCCACAGTCTCAAGGAAAGGTTAAGAGGTCGCACCGAAGCCTTAGGAAAAAGATAGCATTCGACATGGCGCATCTCAAGAAAAGTAGGGTCAATTGGGCTACTCAGTTAAAGGGATACCAACAACTTCAAAACGAGTCACCGTTCGAAGTCTTTTACGGCAGAAAATCTAATGCTGTGGCAAATTATGTCATGTACAGAATGGCAGATGCGTATATGAAAACAGAAAATATCAAGAGTCTTCTAAAACAAAAGCCTACAAGCAACATTCAAAGGAACGAGCAGCCATTAGGAAGAAGGCGAAAAATGCCAGTATTACATGGGATATAAGATACATTAACAGAAGAATCAAGTGTTTGAAAACCTAGGATACCGGGTGGCTTAAGACCCACCAGGTAATGGAAACTGTCAGTTTGAGGTTATTGCCCTTCAATTGCAAAGCAATGGTATTTTTCGTTCATCAGAGACATTGAGAGATGAAGTTTGTAAATTTTTAAGGAAACACCACAGTGCTGCAGATGGGATGCCTCTCGAATTATTTATAGGTCTACCATGGTGACCAGGTAACTCTGCAGGCAGTGGCTGACATGTTTCTAATGGAAATAAATGCTGTATCATCATCGGGCGAAAGGTATCATACAATAATCAGTCCACAAAGCAATGCACCCTTTTCCCAAATTTCACTTGGACATTTTAGTGAGGATCATGTTATACACTAACGGTATGCTAGTTTACAAGACGAAAACAATGCACATGATTTGATAATTTGTGAAAACGAACAAGCAAGTTGCGAAACTGATAATATAATAATCGGTGAAAATGAACAATCAAGTTGCGAAAGCGATGATTTAATAATCGGGGAAAATGAGCAATCAGGTTGCGAAACAGCTTCAACAAATGTAGGCCTATCAGAAATTGAATGGTTTAATGTTTTACCGCAGGAAATTTTGGAGAGAATTATTGGTTTTGTTGTGTCGAATCCAAAAAATAGGGCATTGGTATCAAATTACAATAATTTAGTTAATGTTTGTAAACAATTTAGGAGAATTGCTGTCTAATACCGCCACAGACTTCCTCAAATCCATATCAACTTAGATATGTTTTCTGGCTGGCACAGCATTTTGGGGCTGTGTAAAAAATTTGGAAGTGGAAGTGGCGTCATTCAAGAACTAAAAACAATTGTAGATAGCAAAAAATGGATATATGCTTAGGTGTATTTGTTATTCACATGCGCCGATGATTGGATGATGGTTCAGGACATCAAATGGAGAAAGAAATAGAACCATACTACCATAATTATCAGGAATATCTAGTAGCTGTTACCGTACTTTTTATAGTTTGATTTGTCATTATATTCTGCTAATTTAAAAAAATAATGTAGTATAACGATAATAATAATAATAATAATAATAATAATAATAATAATAATAATAATAATAACAAACATATACTATTTATTATTTATTTTTATTTTTTTTTTGTAACTTAGTAAATTAATAATAATAATAATAATAATAATAATAATAATAATGAAAATAATAATAGTAATGGTAGTAGACCCGTGGTAGCAGTAGGAAACATATTTCGCATGAACGTCTCATTTTTATAAGTGCACATCACACATTTCATCACACAGTAAAGCAAAGAATAATATTTAAAATACTGCTGGTCACTTACAAAAGTAAAATATATAATTCATTCTGAGCACCCGGTCGCCTATGGCAGGGCAAATGTGAAACCTGCTCCTTTGTTCGCGCCACCAAGGTAGGGGACCGGGACTGCGCTAGGGCAGAGGCGGATAGTTGACCCTTTGAGACCTAGC